TCTAAGCTGGATAGTGGCACACCTCTGTAATCCCAGCACTTGGGAAACTGAGGCATGGGGATCGCGAGGATCATCACGAGTTCAAGGCCAGCCTGAACTACATAGTGGGACTCTGCCTCAGAAAAAAAAAAAAATTCTTACAAAAAAAGCAGCAAACAGATTAAAAAAAAAAAAGATTTAAATGTAGACATAAAGTTATTTGTATGCCAGTGGAAACGCTCCAGTAGAATGAGAGAAACATATACAAGAAAAGTTAAATACAGAAGTAAAGGCTTTGAGTAGATGAAAGGTTGGTGTCCTACCAGAAAAAGTAACTGAATGCAGACTAACACAGTTTGATGGGCTCAGTACAGTAATAGGAAGATAAAGTGTTTATCACACGGTGCTCTCTGCCTTCTCTGAACACGAAGAGGCAGGGTGATCTCTTGGGATGGGCAAGGAGGAGTGGCATTCAGACGGAGAGGGAGTGATGGTGATAAGGTGTGAGGAGAGGAGGGGAAATGCGAGTGTTTTTGCAGAGTGAGAAAACAGTTACGAGAGAAGTATGTTATGGTTGTCTGGTGGTGGTGTGTATTTAAACTTTGAGTATTGCACTAAAATTTAATTTGTCAACACTACTAGTTTCAGGACAGAGATTAAGGATGTCTTATTCTTCCATTAATGTAATACTTAGCTTAATGTCAAAAGTGATTGCCACTTTAATAGTTACTGAGCACGCTTAGGCCTAATATGTAATTGTATATGTTAACAGGAGATTTGGATGGGAGATACATATTTGAGAGAAATCAATTTAGATTTAAAAGTGTGAAGAGTATATAACAGATCAAGAAAGAATTAATAGCCTGTAATTGTAATCCCAGCAGTTGGGAGGCTGAGGCGGGAGGATCGTTGTTAGTTTGAGGCCAGCCTGGAATACATAGTAATAACCCTGTCTCAAAAAAAAGAAAAAAGAAGCAATGGTGAAGTCTTGTGGAACAACATAGTTTAATATCAAAAAAGACCTACGAAGAAATAGCCAGAGTTGGGAGGAAATAGTTGAGCCAAGTGTGATTGTGCACACTTGCAATACCAGCACTTGGGAGGCTGGGATGAGAAGGTAGTGTGTTCAAGGCCAGACTGGGCCCTAGAGAGAGTTCAAGGCCAGCTTGGATTACAGAGTGAGATATTTTGTCAAGAAAAAGAAAAAGGAGTCAGAAGCCTGGAGAAAGTTTGAGTCTCAAACATTGATAGTAAAGGTTGTGGTAAGTGAAAGTACTTGTAACAGTGTGCTATGGTGAAAGTTTCGTTGGTGTCAGTGAAGTAAAGAAAATGAGTCAATGAATAGACTTTCTTTATGCTTGTCTGAAGGGAAAAAAGAAAAGCAAGATAAGATAATAGAGCTGTTATGTTCAGAAAAAGCAGAAAGTTTATCTTTTTTCCCCCTTCACTATGTATTTTCTCTCCCCTACTTCCCCCCGCCCCCAGTGCCAGGGATCCCACTCAGGGCTGGTGTCCTGCTGAGCCCTTTTTAGTTTTAATTTTGAGACAGGATCTCACCAAATTGATTACATGCACAAACAGCTGTGCCTGGCTTTCACTGTATATTTGGAATATCTAACCTCGTGTCAACAGAAAAGGCACTTAGTAAATATTTGTTGAATGCATGCAGAGGGACTCTTCAAGCATAAATGCATGTATTGTTTTCTGTAAGGATCTGCAGGACCTGAACACCTGGTCACAGGAGGCATAAGAGAAGCCAATGGGCAGGAAAGCCTGCAGATACAAGAGAAAAGGGGCCGTTGATATAACAGGCTCCTGAAAGACCACAGAAGGGTCATCAGTGGAAGTTTTGCTGTCTAGCAAATGAGAACATTTCCCTTTTTTCCTGCATACTTGAGGATTCAGTAGTTTGTTTGTCTGTTGTTTTTTTGGTTTTTTGAGACAGGGTCTCACTATGTAGCTGAGACTGACCTGGAACTCACTATGTATCCCAGGCTGATCTTGAATTCCTAGCGATCCTCCTGCCTCACCCTCCCGAGTGCTGGGATTACAGGCATGTGCTATCACACCCAGCAGGAATCAGTAGTTTTTAAAATTGGAAATCCTTGTTAAACTGTAGTGACCAAAAGCCTGGATTTTGAAGTACTGCACTGTATTTCCTTTAGTTCCTGCTAAAGGTCTTACCAAAACCAGTGTTCTTTCACTTTTCTGAAGAGCATAGCATTCTTAGGAGCACCAGATTTTAGTTCTGTTCTTGACTTTGTATTATTATGTATCATTAGAGTTTTTTTTTAATTGCAGCATTTTTGCCTCCATTATAATGAATATACCTATTTTTTATTTTAGATTCGACTTCCACCTGAAGTTAATCGAATTTTATATATAAGAAACTTGCCATACAAAATCACAGCTGAAGAAATGTATGATATATTTGGGAAGTACGGACCTATTCGTCAAATCAGAGTGTGAGTCTTACCGAGATTTTTGAAAGGTCATTCGAAGAAAATGATTGTAAAATCTCTAATCTCAGATAGCAAGGGTGCCCTGTGTGATATGCAGTGATGATGTGTCTTTTACGGGTGAGACTTCCAAGGCCAGAGTAAAAGTACCTTTCTAGTCTCACACAGTATTTAATGATAAACTCTGACTAAATTGAACCTGCAGCCTACACAGTGTCTTAGCCTGTCCCACTTAAGGGTCCCTCTAGTTTTTTTTGTTTTTTGCAGTGCTGAGGATTGAACCTGAGCCTCACACATGATGGGTTGAGTCCTCTCTGAAAAGATTTTTTGAGAGTTTTTTTTTCATTACCAGGCATCAAACTTGTGCCCTTGCACTTGCCAAGATGTTGGCAGAACCACTGAGCTAAATCCTCAGCCCTTTGAATGGATTTAAGAAAGAAAATTTTTTTTTTTAAGACAGAGTTTCATGGTATAGTCCAGGCTGGCCTCAAACTTGAGATCTCCGCCTTCTGAGCTCTGCGATTACAAGTGTATACCACCATGCTTAGCTCAAGTTTTTATTTTCAGTCATAATAGTTCTTAAAATTGTTTCCTTTATGAAGCCAGGCACACGCCTGTAATCCCAGCACTTAGGAAGCTGAGGCAGGAGGGTTGCTGTGAGTTCGAGATGAGCCTGGGCTACATAGTGAGTCCCAGTTCAGTCTCAACTACATAGTGAGACCCGGTCTCAAAAAAAAAAAATTTTTTTTTTCCTTTATGATGTGAGAGCTCCTTCCTAGCTTTTTGGACTGTGAGAGCCCAGAACTCTTCTCTTGAATGGTCATCATCCCTCCAAAGAGTGAACTAGATGCTGGAAGTTACCATCATTGGTACTCTGATGGGGACGAGAATGAAACTGTTAAGACCAGTTGTCTTTTCATCTGAGCACCGGATGAGAGCTCTGGATCCTCTCCACAGAAGAACACATGCATTTTGCCTACAACCACAGGATAATGCACTTGAGACTCAGAACCTCTGTACACAGAAGGCCCCTGACTTGGGGATCAGGAGACCAGATTCTAGTAAGACCCTGCCATGTGACGAATGCCTAGTATTTTTGGCTTTCTCTTTCTTTCTGTGTAAGATAACCGAAATGGTGTCCTTTTGTCTCTATGTGGCGGCTGCATGATAAATGTACTAGATTGGATATCGAGCACTTACTAGTCATGTGAAACTGAGCATATTAATAGTTAACTTATCTGAACTTCAAGTATCTTTGATATACAGTCTTTTTAACCTGATGTCTTAAAAGAATTTTATTTTGAATCAAATTATAGAGTGTCCATGAAAGTAATTTATTATTGAGTATTTTCTTCCCAGCATGCATTACCACCCATCTCCATGATCCCATAGCACCTTCTAGAAAGCTCTCTTTCTAGTTACCACGTGGCATGGCTGTTGTCCCTGTGACTCTTTCCTGGCAGCCTGGGAGGTACTCCAGGGATAGTACTATGTATTCTTTCTTCTTTATCTTGACAGCACTTGTCATGCCTGATATGTGGGAAGTACCCATGGTATGAGTAAATGAATAATACAGAAAATGGCGCTGTGATTAATTTATGAAGGCATTGTAAAAACTTGCTGATAGGGCGGGCATGGTGGCTCATGCCTGTAATCCTCGCACTCAGGAGGCTGAGGCAGGAGAGTTGCTGTGAGTTTGAGACCAGCCTGGTTACACAGTGAGTTTCAGGTCAGTCTCAACTACATAGTGAAACCCTGTCTCAACCCCCGCCCAAAAAAACTTGCTGATAGGCCAGTCATGGTAGTGCATACTTGTAATCCCAGCACTTGGGAGGCTGAAGCATGAGGATCTCTTGAGTTTGAGGTCAGCTTGGGCTACCAAGTGAGTTCAAGAGTGAGACCCTGTCTCAAAAAAAAAAAAAAAAAAAAA